TTTCAATTTGGGTTTGTTCTATTTAGAAAACGAAGTGTAAAAATGTTTTACTTACGTTCCAGGAACTATCTGGAATCCTTCTACCTACCCCAAATTCTGCACTAAAAGTACATGTGATAGTTNTTTCGTCTCTTTTTTTTTTTTTTTTTTTTTTTTTGGTGGGGGGGAGGTGTTTTGGTTTTGGGATTGTTTTGTCTTTTATTTGTTTAGGAACTTCTAAACTACCTAGTATTTGCTTCATAGCATCCAGCAGCAGTGTGTTTAGCTCACCCAGCCTCCTCAAGAGCCAACAGTAGCCTGTCTGGTCATTTTGTCTAGTTTGTCATGTTTGCAGCAGCTGTACTTTAGAATAAGCCTTGTGTGATACTTACTTTTGAGTAAGTAAACCGCAAAAATAAATGGGTTTTTTTTGTTGTTTATTTGGGTTTGGAAAATGGTCAGGTTTTGTTTCGATAAATGTCATTCTGTGTTGCATTTGTGTGTTCACACTTGTTGAAGAGAAAAATCCATCTGTGTCTGAGAGTTCAGTGGAACATTAGGAGAAGAAATGAAGCCCATCATCTGGGCATGGATGTTGGGTCTAGGGGGAAAAATGGACCAAACTTGGGTGTTGGGTTACTTGGGGATGGTGGGGGGTTGTGAGGGCATAATTTAAATTAACTCTGTCTAAAATAAAGTGTAAGTGCAATAAATGTGCTTTTTTATTCAAAGCTGTGAACCTTTAGGAAAAAAAAAAACCACAAAAAAAAATCAACCAAAAAAAAGCACATCATTCTTTCATGAGCCTTGTGTCCTACCTGCCTCCCCTTCCTCCCCTTCTCCACACTTCTCAACTGACAGAAACCTGACAGTGGCCAACTTGCCTGTGTTGGCAACCCAAATTAACATTGCTGATCTCATTTTTGGGATAGGGGCAAGTCCTGTCCCCTGTTTCTTCTCCACCCTTGAAATCTTGGGATTCAGTTCTGCCCTGTGCCTCTGGAGCAGGGTCTGCCCACTGCCTGGGATGCACGAGCCAGCCCGTCTGCTCTGTGGTCATCCTGACTCCAAGTGCAGAGCTCCTCCTGGCCCTCCATTGTCCAGGTGTAACCCTCCTCCCCACCTCAGCAGGGTGTAGTGAAGGCTCTCCCCGGGCTGGGCAGTGACATTATTCTTGAGCAATTGCAAAAGGAATCAGCCATCAGCTGCCTAATGGGATCCCTTTTCCCTGCCCCAACACATGTGCAGGCTGGCCACTGTTGCCTTCTGTGACTCTGCCTTGTTTTGCAGGAGCAGGTGTAGGTGTGTGTAAACTGTTGTGCATTACTTGCACTGTCTCTCTTTCTTACTTGAGCACAGGCTGCTTTTCCTAGATTAGGAAAGGGGCACAGATCTCCTGAGCTTCCCAGGAGAGCACGATGCATGGAGCAGTGACAGAAGGGGTAGCACTCACTGGTTGGACCCTCTGGGGGAGTAAGAGAGGACTGGCTTGTTTAAAGTTTATAGATACCCAGATCTATATCCTTTAAACTTTATTATTTTTATATGTAGTCAAGACAATGGCATTACCTCATAATACAGAGGCTTGTTTATGAGAGGCAAAGTATGTAGTAAGGAGAGGAAAGGGAAATTTATATACAGATTTGATTTCTTGTTTGTTTGTTCCTTAGTGCAATGAAATGTATGTCCCACCACTTTAAACTCTGTGCTAACACATTCCTTTCAGATGTGTTCTTTTTTTTTTTTTTTTTGACCACCAGAGGTTTGCAAGGGGCTTATGACTGCAAAATAGAAGGTCCAGTCTGGTTACTTAAAAAAAAAAAAACCAACCCATTGTGTTAGTAGATTTCCATAGCTGCTTTTTAAAATCTACAATGGAGTAATTGTTTTGAAACTTGTATTTATTTTTTAATTCATAACAAAATGTTTATTTTTGGTTTCCTGTTATGTAGGTCATGGCAACTCCCCTTCGTTCCTTCTCCAGTTTCCCTGTAATTGCCAATACAACTTATTTTTCTTGTTCGTTCCTTTTCCCTTTACTTTTGTTGTCCCTTCATTTGTACTTTGGAGTTTTTCTCATGTAAATTTGTACAATGGGAAATATTGTCCAGTTTGGTTAGAGAGCATGGAGACTTAAAACATATTAAAATTTGATAGCTGAATTCAGATTGAAGAAAACTATTTCAGTGTAAAGTTATTTAAAGAACTCTGTATTATATGAAAGGCAAAAAGTTCTATGTACTTGATGTGAATATGAGAATACTGCTATAATAAAGATTGACTGCATGGAAAAGTCTGAAGGTGGTTGTTTATTGTGTCATGCATGACTCTTCTCCATGAAGTTGGAGACGTGCAACTCAGGTGGTTAAGGGGAGTGAAAAAGTTACTTTAGGGGTATAACTCTGGAACGGAAGGAGAAGGCAAAAAATAAAATCAAGGGACTCGTGCAGTGTAATCCCCCTCTCCTCATCTTCCTTAAGCTGGATCACTGCCTCCCTGCCTGCTGTGCTGAGCCCTAAGACATTTTTACCTTTACTGTTCTGAACTTTGATATACCCGAGGGGAATTCTCCCTCATCCTGGGAAAAGCCTGGCACCTCTGGGTAAATTCTCCTGCTTCTTATGGCAATTTCCCCTCACCTCTTCATTGGTTATTTGGCAGAGCCTCTGTTGATAAGACTGTTACCTGCTGTGCACTTATGGACTTTATTTCTTGGGGCAAACACATTCTCTAGCAAGCAGGCATTACAGAAGCTCATGTGTACTCAAGTACCACAACTTTAAAGCTATCATGGTCATTTTCCAAAAATTCTACTTAAAATAGAAAAAAATACAATTCAGCTTAGATTTTACAGTTTTATTGACATAAGGACCCAGGAGCCAAAGATTTGGTTCCAGGGGCCTCAATTAGTTCCAGGAACCTGAAAGTAACAGAAGAAAAACCTGAGAACCTTTTCCCTTATCCTTTTTCCACCATGCAGAGCACAAGAAGGACCTCTTCAATACTGCCTTTAGTTGAAAATTTTGGTTTAGAGCTGTGATGTGTGACACAACAGCTTGGAAAAGACTCCGTAATCAAAGAACTGAAAACAAACAAAACCCGCAAACGTTTAAGGGGATATCTGGACAGATTTCTCTAGAAACAGAGCCTGTCTTCGAAGTTAGATCATGCTGGGTTTACAAAACAGCATGAAGAAAATAATTTAGAACTGTTACCAGGTAACTTACAACTCATAACAAACTCGGTTGTTACGGTGCAGGTTTCTATTGCCAAAATCAGGCTCCCTGCTCTCAGGCACCCGAGAGGCGTGTGTGAAGGCAGGGAGCAGTGCGGGCCCTGCCTCCTGCACCTCCTGCGGAGCTCGGGCAGCGTGCATTCCCCTGGGCACTGCCCACACACCTGCGGGGAGCGGGGCCCTGCAGCGGGACCAGCCGGGAGGGGCGATGGGGGCCGTACCGGTGTGCTGCTATTCCTCATCGTCCGGAGGGATGCCGAGCTCCTCGTCCGTCCAGGCCGAAGCGTCGGGATACGGGAAGTGTCCCTGCGAGAGAGGCTCGTCAGAGCCCGGCCGGGGCCCGGCCCGAGCCCCCCGCCCCCGGCCGCCGCGCCAGCCTCACCAGCACCATGTCCGAGTTGTGCCAGAACTGCCAGAGGATCCAGAACCACATGAAGCCGCTGAGCAACTCGCTTCGAATCACCTGCGCCCGCGTCAGCTCCGGGAACTGCCGGTACCGCGGCGGGATGTGCACCCCGCCGCCCGCGCTGCAACACAGCACGGCCCCGCCTCACTCCGGGCCCCGCCGGCCTCAGCCCCGGTCCCGGCCCGCCCCGCTACCCGGCCCGCCCCGCTCACCACCGCCGCCCGGGCACGGCGGCCCCGGCCCGCAGCAGCCGCCCCGCCGCCCGGCCCAGCGCCGCCACCACCATGGCTGTGCCCAATGTCACCCGCACCGCCCAGCAACGGCCCCGCCGATTGGAGCCGCCACCGCCTTCCGGGGCGGGGACAGCACAGAGAGAGCCGGGAGAGGGAGGGGACCCGGGGCACTGAGGGATCCCGGGGCAAGGGAACTGCTTGGGGAGCCGGGAAAGAGAGGGGACCCGGGGCACTGAGGGATCCCGGGCACTGAGGGATCCCGGGGCACGGGGACTGCTTGAGGAGCCGGGGCACCGAGACAGCCCGGGGCACGGGCACGGCTCGGGGCACAGAGGGAGAGGACCCGGGGCACGGAGGGAACAGGGAAAGGGAGGGGAGCCGGGGCACGGGATTATCCCGGGGCACAGACACAGCACTGCCGGCACACATTGCCCCCTCACTCCCCTCAGCACTTGGGAGCGCCGGCGCCGCACCAAGGGCGGGTTCTCCGTGAGTTCTCCCAAAGTTGGCGTCGCCCACGGAGGGCGCAGAGCGGGGCGACCTCCCCAGCCAAGCCGCTCCTTTTTGGAGGGGCGGGGGAACAACACGGCTCCAGCGACTGGTGTTTAAGGAAGGGGCAAAAGCAGCAGCGCGTCCCCCTGTCCCAGCCTGGGCGGCCCGGCTGTCCAGCCAAGCCGTGCGGTTGCGGAGCAACGGGACACGGGCGGCGTCGAGCGGCGGGGCCGGGATACGGGAATTGCCCTCGGGGCTGGGATGCCGGAATTACCCTCAGGACCGGGGTGCGAGAGTCGCCCTCGGGGCTGGGATGCCGGAATTACCCTCAGGGCCGGGGTGCGGGATTCGCCCTCGGGGTCGGGATTCGGGAATTGCCCTCAGGGCCGGGGTGCCGCGAAGGAAGCAGCTTGTCCGGAAAGAGAAACGCAGGAGCGGTGCCTCGGCATAGAAACAGCCAGTTCAGAATTGCCACCTGAGCATCTGAGAGAGTTTTGTTCTTCTTTTTTCCTTTTTTCCTTCTCCCACGGGTGTTACAGCAGTGTGCCTGCCTGCTTATTGCTCGCTCGGCAGTGTTCCTGGAGCTGCAGCCTTTGAGGGTGATGGAAAACCCATCCTGCCGGTGGGTGGATCTGTTCACCGGTGTATGCCAGTAGTGCATATGGTGTGCCTTCGGGGACATTGAGGTGATCACGAAGGAAGCAAGCAAAAAAGAATGGAGAAAGTAGCCAGACTATCAGAGGAGCCCTTTCGAGGAAGCCAACGCTCCCCTCCTCCTCCTGACAAGGTATGATGCCAATATAAGATTAATCCACACTTGTAGCTCCTCCTGAATCTTTATTAGGTAGCACTCCACAAAGAATTGGAGAGGAGCTTCTTCGACCCTCCTGAAGGTATTTTAAATAAGCAATAATATCTTCTCCATCTGTTAACACCCCAGACATCCTCAGCTGAAACAGCCATGGATAGCCATATAGTTAAGGAATTTTAATTTCCCTGCTCATCTGAGCCTTGTAGCATCCCTAATGCATTTTCAGCAGCAGTTTACAGGGAATAGCAGCAACCTTTTCAACCACTGTTTTTGCTTACCATGTGCAACGTGTTGCTACCTTGCAATGTGCTCCATACCGAGCTTATGTTTTTCCATAAAAGCTGGATTCCTTGACACAAAGTTCCCAGTTCTATTGCCAGGTCTGCCTTACAACTGCCTTGTATTATGCCTTTCTGTCTTCTTGCAGCCCCTGGCATTCTGTACCGTGTCCTTGTTCTCAAGCATCCCACATTTCCCATCTTGCTCATGCCGGATGTCTCCACTGCTGGCTTTGACCTTCAGAGGCAACTTTGTCCCCCTAGACTGAACCCCCACCTTCTTCACTCTTCCTTCACTTCAGGTCCTTTCATTGACCTTTCAGCTTTGCTTGCCAGGGGAGCTTGGAAGCTGTGTAAGCAGCAGCAGCAGTGCACACATGGCCACTGGCTGCCCACCCCTGCTACGTACCTAGCAGCTGAATAGAAACCAGGTGCAAGGAGGGGGTTATTATATAGTTCTTAAGGTGTTTTTTTTAATATTCCTTCTTTACAAACTTGATTTCTCAAAATCAAAACCATTTGTGATGAATTTACAGTTAAGGAGCATAATATCACAAGATATGGTGGAAGAATTATGAAGAGAAGTAATAAACTGAAAGTAAATTTCAACTTTGTAGACAATATTCCTGTTTAAGGATTTAAGTGTTCAAAAATCATGCTAACTTTCTGCATCCATCTCCTCGTTCCCCCTTCCAGGTAAGCTCCACATATATCTCACATGTCCAGTGCTGCCACACACCTAATAAGGATTCCTGTAGCTCTCTGCTGCCAAGATGTCCAGTAACACAGTAAGCTCATAATCTGTGGGTGGGGCACTGGAAAAGTAGAAAAGAAAAAGCTGAGAAACAAAGACAGTTATTGCAGGGTGGGGGTTTTGTTCTATGTTGATTTAGTTTGTCTATCAGTTGCCAGGTTTTCATTATTTCTTGTATTTTTGTTTTCCACAGCTGTCCTGTTTGTGCATGGAGTCCAGGTCCCTTTTGCAGGCCCTTGACACTCTTACCCAAAAGGAATTTCACTGGTTCATCCCCAGAGGCTTCCCGTGTCCTGAGGGGGGCTCGTGTGTTGGCAAGGAGAGAAACTGATGGCTATTACTACCCGGGCCACATTGTCCAGGAGGTGAAGGTAACTGTTGATTGGGAACTTGCTTGTAAGAGCATCTATGTTTTTTTCTCTGTTCTTCCCATACCTCACCAGTCCCAAGCCCTTGTTGTGGGGTGTTCCTCCAGTGTTAGAGTGCACTTCATAGCCACTCTTGCCTCCCCACACCCTATTTTCATGTTACCCGGTGATGTCTGGCTGTTTGCTGTGAGGAGCCCTGCAAGTAAGAGCAGCCTGGAGATCAATCCGTTTTTGTAATTAATAATGAGTATAAAGAGTTGTTATTCAGAGACAGACAGAACAGGTCCCTTATCCCTATTTTTGCCCAGCCTAGCAGCAGAGTTGGTTAGTTAAACAGCAGCTAGTAATCCAGAATGTTTGTCTCCAGGGTCCACTTCCTCTTTACCAAACTGAGAGCTTTCCTCATTCTTTCCCACCTGTGTTTCTGAGAATTGCAAGATGATTTTGGATGCCAGACGAAAAATCCCCCCTGCAGGTTTTCTTTTAAAATCCAGTTCATTTTGCATTTTTCAGGTTAGTTAAATAGATTTTGGTGCAAGAGTAGGTGAAGATGTCTATAAGCTTCATTGTGGGGTAGAACAGATTGGGACAGCTATAGGCACGAGTGACATCAGCTGGAGTAGGAGCTGACAGTATTCTTTGTGTAAGTGCACTCAAAGATCTGCAGAGAAGGCTGAAATTCTGGCAACAGATCTTGCCCTCACTCACTGCTGAAGGCTTCAATTAAAGTATTTAAATTTATGACAGTTGTAACTTTTTACTGCTTTGTTACCCTTCTGGTTGCTGAAGAATTGTTTGTTTTCCTTCTGGTCGTAATGAACTGCATCATACACAGTTTCCTTTGGCTGCTTTTTCTGGTGGGAGGTTTTCCTGATAGAGGTCTGCCTTAGCTTGCTAACTGTGTTGTTCCTAAAATCTAGGTCCAAAGTGAAGGGAAGAGAAAATCTGTCAGCCCTTTATGCCTCGCTTTTTATTTACTTTTAAAGTGGTATGGACACAGTACCACTGTGAAACCCTGGTAGAAGAGGAAAGCTGCATTCCCAGATCATGTTCCACTTCCTGGGATTTCTGCCACTTCCCTCTTAGCACTTAAGCTTGGCTGTTAAATGGACCTTGCAAACTGCCTTGCAAACTTCATGTTTTACCCTTGCAGGGCTCGAGGGAACGATTTTTAATTGAGTTTGACCAAAGTTGTGCTCTGAAGGGCAAAGTCCAGCGTGGCCAGCAGGAAACACCTCTCTATGACATTCTGCACTACGAGGATGCCCGGCGACACCCTCTTGCTCCAGGGGACAGGGTCTTGGCACCATGGGAGGCTCCAGCCAAACGTTTTGGCCCTGGCACTGTGCTAAGGGTTGTGGAGAGCACAGAGGCACCTTTAGGTACCTGCTATGGGAGTTTTGGTTTTCTTAGCAGCACTGGATTCGCCTCCTGCTGCTTGGGTTCTCTTCATGGTGTTTTTATTGGCACTAAGCCACTTTTTTAGGGCCAGAATTAACACAGCTCACAGAAATTGCCTTTGCTTTGTTCTGTGGGTGAAAACTTCCTAAAACGTTAGGGGTTCGGGGTAGCATCATTCCAACACAAGTCAAAAAACATTTCTGATCCTCCTGAGGGTCACCTGATTATCTCTTAGTCTGCTTTCCAGCTATTTCAGGGTAAAATCCCACCTGTTGTGGCAAGTGAGATTTTTTTTTATATCTGCTGTCTCTTCACAGGAAATTCAGGAGAAAGACAGATTTTAAACCTGTAAAGAATAAAATCATGGAAGTTGTTACAGAATTGTCTGAAACACAAGTCATTACTTTTACCTCCTGCTCTCTAGGAGATAAATCACACAGATTGACATGTTGCTAATACATTACTTGCCCTTTTTTTTTTCCCCAGTAAGCACAGCACACAATGAAAGGGGAGTGCTTGTGAGTTTCTGGAATGGGCAGACTAAGGAGGTGTCTTCTGTCCAGGCTCTGCGGATTCCCCTGCCCCTGAGTGAACGCATCATCCTGGAGCTGCAGATGCCTTTGGCAGCCCGGCAGATGGTGGTAGATTCAAGCTTGGATTACCCATACCTTGTAGCACCGGGTTATAGAGCCTCAGGGCACTACAGACAGGGTCACCTGGAGGTGGACTGCTGCCCAGGGGCTCTGTATTCCACTCATCCCTGTGCAAAGTGCAGCTGGGGGTGCTGCCTTGGAGCCTGGGAGCCCACACGGACTGCAGAGTGCCAAGTGCAGCAGGAAAATGCCTTCATCCCAGGGGCAAGCTTGTCTGAAGAAAAGCTCAGCAAGAAAATAGAACAGGAACTGTCTGAATTGAGGATTGCATCTTCAGAAAGTGTTTCCAGAGAGGAAGAGAAGAAGGAAGATAAGAGATTGGAGACAGAAAACATTGCAAAAGATGTTAGGTCTTGTTTAGAAGAGAACTGTGAGGTTATAGAAATTGAGAAGGTAAAAAGTGATTCACTCTGGCTTTTTTGTTAATATATGGTCTGCTATTTGTATAAATATCTGCTTTGTTACTTTAAGTTTACTATCCTTGGCACCAAGCAATTGTTAGAGATTTCAGGCCTGGTCCTTATACCTGCCTGCTAAAGAATGGAGAGACTTGCCCTGTCTTCCTTTGACTGGGGTAAAAGCTATAATCTGTCATTGTCCCTGGCTGGAGCAGGCTTCTAGAACCTCTTCCATGGATTCAGAATATGAAAAGTGTTGCATAGCCCAGTCCCTCTATATTCTGCATTCTGCTTCTGTGTGAAGGAGGTAAAGGCAAGAAAAGGAAAAAGTGTCAGAAGACTTGACATTAGATAAGGATTACAGTAGGGATTATTCCTACCGAGGCAGGTTCTTCCATGATTCTTTTAACATACTTCTCCACCCTGTTAGAGGTGTCCCCTCTCCCAGTCAAGGACCACAAGAGACTTATGCAGTCCTCAGCAGCTGATTTGGTGCTTGTGAGCAGCCACGGGGTGAGGATCAGTAAGGAGGAGGTTCATGTGCACCAGCTAGTGCCACACTTATCTCCATTGCTCTGCAAGGGTTAGAATCCAAATTCTGGCACATGCAAGAAGCAGGGCTGTCTTTCAGCCAGAGCTCCTCTAGCCTTATCTCTTTTGTACCAGTTTGGACCCTTTCAGGCAAAAGTACTTTAGGTCATTTGGAGACGTAGGGAAACTCAGGAAGTGATCAGAAACTACCTATGAGTTGTTTCTTTAGTAAAGAGCTCCCCCAGAATTTGGTTGCTTTGGGTTTTTTTTTCATTTTCTCTTAAATTTCAGTTACAACGTAAGATCTTATGCTGTAAATTCATTAAATAAACCTATTCTTCCTATTCTTTTCCTCATCAGGTCTGGATTATGATTGCATTTCTTGTTATTTCTAGAGCCCTCAGAGGGAGATGGCTCATGCTGTGGCCGATGCTGCTGTCAACACAGACAGCTGGTTAATGGAGACAGATCACAAGAAAGAAGCAGAGAGCAGACAGCTGGATGCTGAAACTGAAGCTAATTTTGAACATGAGCATGGTATTGGAACTGTTAAGTCTTACCCAAACATAAAACTTAGCACATAATATCAGGATGCATCATGTATAACATCTGTCAACAAAATTCTTGGTGCTTCACAAGAAAATACCATAATGCCATCTTTATATATAGGTATTAATGGTGCCATGGCTTGAGAAGTTATTAATCTTCTCTCAAGGTGAAAGAATTTTCAGATGGAAGTTGAGATTTTTTGGCTTTTATAGCTCAGCTACTGCAGTAGCAGCTTTTGAGGTTTTTTTTAATCTATATCATAGAGCTCAGAATAAATAAAAATTTCCTTACTTTAAAAATTAATATATAACATTAACTGTGACTGTGTATAGCAACAAGATCTCATCAAGACTATTGTGCAGAACAATCCTCTTATCTGTGCTTAAAATTACTGCTTTATAATGTCGCTGAGTAAAATTTTGTTCCCTGAACAGCCAAAAGGGGCTGGATCATGATTTTGATCAATTTGTTGCTGTTCTCAGCTGTATAACAATTGCTGGAATCTAAGAGAGGATTCTGAAAGCCTAAAGCATTTTCTTTTATTGCTTTGTGACACTGCTGGAAGAGGGAGAATGAAAAGTCAAACAGGAGTGTAGAATTCCTCCCAGCTGGTGTTCCAGCATCATTCCATGCAACAGTTGCCACTCAGGTCTGCCCTGTCCTTAGCAGAAAGGTGTGAGCAAACTCTGCTCATGTTCTCAGTTACCCAAAAGCTGTGTTAGCAGGGTTATGCCCCTGCTAATGTCTCCTGTCTCTCAGCAGGATGTAGAGCTCAGGCTTTGCCCTGTCAAAATATTTATCATTTTTACTCATCTCAGAGCAGTTCATGCCTGTCTGTGAGATACCATGTAAACAATCCTTTAGCCTGAGTAGCTGTAAGAAGGGTCAGGCAAAACTCTTGCCTAAATGTAATGGCAAGCAGCTTGTTTCTGAAAAGCTGGAACCTCTTTTGTGCAGACTAAAAACTGCCCCACTTCCAGAGGAAAATGTAATAAAATCCTTGCTTGAATATATTTCAAATGAGCAGACCTTTTGTTCTTTTAATTTGCTTTCTTTTTATAAGCCTCCTATATTCTCATATGTCCTTGCCCTGATTTATTTGAAAGGCCTGTTTGAGTCCAGAGTGGCAAAAGTTCCAGTCCAGAATTCCCAGAGGAGCCCCTCCCTGGGAAGCAGTGCTTTGGTTCCTTTCAGGCACCAGAGCTTCTTTGCCCAAGTGAATCAGTCCCTGGAGAAAGACAGCCTGACCATCAGATCAGCCCTCCGTGTGCAGACACCACACAGCACCACCAACCTGCTGCCTGGGAGATCCACACTTCTGCCAGATCTTCTAGAAGGCAAAAGCACCACAGTGAGTATTTGGTACAAACCAGGTTTAGTTCTTAGGAAGAGGAGATTTGTTTGTGTCATGTCAGAATATTCTCTTCATTGATCTTTCACAAAGGTTTGTGCTGCAACAAAAATGATGCCTGTGTAGAATAATAGTTATGCATAAATAGAAACTTAAAGGACTCCACTTGGGAACCCACGTTGTGCAGTGCAGGGCATATGTGGTATTTTTGCTCAGCTCTTTTGACAGAATGTTTTTCTATGTTAGATCTAAGCTCTTCTAAATAAGCTTCTCAGCCAGCTCTACTAGATAACAAAAAAAATATTCCTCTTTTACACATACTGAAAGCAAAAAAGAGAAAATTTAGGCAGTCATCTGAGGCCCACAGCAAAGAGTGCATGTTAGGGCAGGGGTGGAATTAGAAGTCTCCTGATCTGTAGGCTGGTAGTTTGCCTGCTGAAAAACATCATTTGTTCACCTCCCACCTATAAAACACCTTTGATTCTTTCTTTGATCTCTCCTCGTGTGTGTCATTAAACACAAACACCCACAAGGTACATTTTTTTGCTAAGAATAGCAATACTCTGGAGAATAAAGCTGTTTACAGCCCCTGGGAAGCCGTACAGATCAATGTGTTAAGAGAAACCAGTGAAAATGCTGTGTAAGACTGGCAGGAACATTGTTTGAAAGTCCTGTAGTGTTTTCCAGCTTATGGTATTCAAGTTGTCCCCAGGAAAGCACTGGAAGGAGACAGTCTGTTTGCAGAGGAGCAGCTGATATAGCCGGAACATGCTAACTTCACCTGAGAATAGGAGGAAGGAGGATGCATTTGACAGAGGAAAATATTTTGGGGGAACTCTGTTCCAGCCTCAAACAGCTCTAGCAATGTAGAACTGGAATACATGTAAAGTTTGGTGGTGGTTACTTGCACTTCCCTCATAAAGGGCATTGTAAGGAGTTCAGAAACAAATGAACATTTCACTATGGCTGTGAGAAGAGGCCTTTTAGGTGCTCCTTCATCTCTGTACACAGCACAGTGCATTTAAAAACACAAATCAACAACACTACAGCATTGAAATGAAGCTGCTACTGAAGAAAACAGAAGGACTGCTTGAGCATGGGTAGAAAACTCAGACAACAAGAGGTGAAGAGTTGGAACACCGGCAGAGAACTCCAGGAATGTTCTGGGTTTGGCCAGAGGGGGGCAGGTATTTCTCTTGCTAATAAAATCTGGTAAGGAATATCTATTTATTGTGATCAGAACTAGGATTTTCCACCCAATCCAGAAGCTGACCCAAAGACTGGGGAGTTTTAGGCATTGGCTCAACACCAGAACAGCACAGCCTACTGACCTATAGACAACTCTTAAGACTGAATTTTGAGGCATGTCTTCGTTGTTTAAGCCTAGTGTTTTTTACAGGTTTTAGCATCATCCTCAGTGGTTTTTTGGGAGGGAATCAGCACTACAGTGTTTGTGAGCCTTTGTAGCTTCTAGGCCTCGGGAGTGACATTAAAACAGGCGTGTTCAGGTTTTGTGTGTTTACAGTTTGCATTAGAAAAATACACTGCTGGGACTAAGGTTCAGTTTGCTTTTTTTCCTCTTAGAAATCGTTCCTTAGTGGTGCATCTCAGGAGAGGTGGAAAGAGCTGAACTTCAACAGAGCCAAGATTGAGCACAAAAGGTGGCAAGAGGAGCAGAGGCAGCTGAAGAGGGAGCAGCAGCAAGAGGCAGATGGCACCCGACACCGGCTGCACAGGGACAGCCAGAGGTGATGCTGGGAACTGACTGCTTTTTGTGCTAAATGTTGGAAGGTTGGTAACATCTGCTCCCTGCTGCTCTCCTTCAGTCCCTGCACATCCCGTGTTGTGCTTTTTGCTGGACTCTGCCTCAGAGGGGTCACAGTGATTCCCTACTGGGAATAAAATCGGTGCTTGAGGTGTGAGGGAGTGGATACACAGCATTATCCCCAAGGGCAAATTCCCTTCCATCCTGTTCTCAGACCAAAAGTGCTGACATCAGGCACCAGCCTATGTGGGGCTTTTGCTACCTCTGTTCTGGGCACAGGTTTAATCCTCATAACCTAACAAAGAGTCCTGCAATATTAACTGAACACGGATTGCCAAAATATCTGCTTTGTGTCTTATGCACTGTCTTTCTTTTTTATTGCTCTTTCTTTATGAGAAATTTGAGAAATTTTGTTTTGGAAACAGGCAGCGATTGCGTCAGAGAACATTGCAAGGGCTGAAGAAACAGCTGGAGCACAAAGAAAGAGCTTTGCAGCACATGGCACTGCTCCAGGCTGCTGGGGCTGAGAGGAGCAGGAAGGAATCCTTCTTTCAAGAGGAGGAGGAGAGGAAGGCAAGGCAGAGGCTTCAGTTCTTAAAGACACAGCGTTTGCAGAGAGAGGAGTTGCAGGCAGAAAGTAACAAAAGGAGATGTGAACAAGAGAAAGAAAGGCTGGTAAGGGCAATTCCAGAAGTTATTTTCCTCTTCTGCCATGTTTCCAGCAGCATCTGGAATATTTGTGTATTTCACCTGTTTTACATCCAATATATTATTTACAGATAAAAAAGGGTAACATTTTTTTGGCATGTGTATAAAGATGAAAGGTGGAAAGTAGAATTCCCTATCTCTGCCATAAAAGAAGTGTTTCTGCATGCAAGGAATGAATTTCCATAGATTATATCCATTTCTGACTTCTACTAGTGAGAATCATAGTACTATAGGATCATTTGGATTGCATTAATCCAATTCCAACCCCCTGCCATGGGCAGAGAGACACCTGCTACTATCCCGGGTTGCTCAGAGCCCCATCCAGCCTGGTCTCAGACACTGCCAGGGATGGAACAGCCACAGCTTCTCTGGGCAGCCTGTGCCAATACCTCTCCACCCTCACAGGAAAGCATTTCATCCTAATATCTACTCTAAACCTCTTCTTTTTCAGTTTAAAGCCATTCCCCCTTGTCCTATCACTTCACATCCTTGTAAAAAGTCCCTCTCCAGCTCTTGTAGCCCCTTTAGGCACTGGAAAGTGCTCTAATGTCTCCCCAGAGCCTTCTCTTCTCCAGGCTGAACAACCCCAGCTCTCTCAGCCTGGCTCCATAGCAGAGGTGCTCCAGCCCTCTCAGCATCTTCATGATCCTTCTCTGGACTCACTCCAGCAGGTCCATGTCCTTATGCTGGAGGCCCTAGAGCTGGACAGAGATGAAAAGTGAGGATGAAATTTGGCATGAAGGCTGACTGTACAGTTTTGAATGTCTTTATGTAGGAGTTCCTGAGGAGCAGAATGCAGTCACAGCAGGAAGTGCTGGAACAAGAATCCCAGGAGCAGGACAAACAGCAAAACCAGCACCAGGCTGCCAAAGTGAGAGTGTTCCAGAGGAGAGAGAATTCTCATTTGAAGATGGAAAAAGAAGGCCAGAAACTCCGTGCCCTGCAGCAATACCTCAGGGAACAGAACCTTCTGCTGCTCCGGACATCCCTGCTCACGTAAGGAAGGGCAGGGCCTGGAGTTCACAGACCTGCTGTGTCCTGTCAGGTGTGAGTCCGTGTGCCAGAGCAGAGTTGTTACATTAGGATTCCTGGAGATGTCTTTAACCTCCCTTTCACTGCAGCCAGAGTGCATTTCCACTGCTCTGTCCTTTACCTGCCTTTCTTCCTGGGGTCACTCGCTTTCCCCTCCGCTGAGAGGGAGCAGCAGGGCACATCCAGAGGCATTTCTCTGCATCAGAAAGGAGAGGGTTTCTAGTGCATGGCACTATGGTGAGTGCCAAAGGAGAGCAGGAGGAGGTTGGGCATTTCACATCCTGAAGTGAGTGCTCCCCCTTCCTCACATCATCTGAGGTACAAAATTCCCTGTGGCACAGCAATGTGTTGATCAGCTCTGGGAAACCAGAAATTTCAGGTGGGTATTTAGGAAAGGAGAATGGACATGGCACCATTTATTTGCTGAAACAGTCAGAGCTATATGGAAATATCTTTATTTTACACAGAATTATGCTGACATGAATACTATATATGTGATACCTTGTTTCAAGTAATGCCTAGTACCAAACTAGATACAAAATTTAAATTCGGCCTGACTTTCTGTGTACACTTAGAAACATGATACACATTTTCTGGCACATTATAAAAATTTATGCCTCTTGCTAGAATACAGCACCAGTGATAATGGCAGTTGCTTAAAAAAAAAAAAAAAAAGAAAAGTAAAATTAAGAAAACTTGTAAAAGGGAGCTCCTTTGAAATCCTGCCAAATCTTCTCAATGGCCAGCAGTTTCCTAGCAGTAAGTGTCAGACTGCATTCCTCCAGGGATAATGGAGAATCTATGCCTTCAGCTTTTCCCTAAAAAGACAAAGTTAAATCTCTCATCCAGATGTTTACAAACTACTCTGAGACCTTAATAGCTAAAATGGGTATTTTTAAACTTAAGGATCCAAAATGTGCATGAGCCATCCTCAGACTTTTGCTTACAGAAAAAAAAAAAAAAAAAAAAAAAAAGAGAGGGAAAAGGAAGGATGAACTTAAATAGAAGGTGAAGGCTTTAACAAACAAAATGTCAAAGTTAAGGTCTGAAATGTAACTTGCCTCAGATTATGGAGGCACAGTTTTGCATTTTAGACGTGAAATCTCATCATTTGGAACAGTTTCCACTCTGTTGAGTGTCTGGAAAAGTTGGCTGGAATTTGCTCAGCAAGAATATGGTTGGTTGTGCCTGGCACACACCCTGCCAAGGGAACGTGGGTGCTGGTGGCACATGGAGATTTTCTTTAGGTAATGTTTGGGGGTTCTTTGCTTCTCTTCTTGTTTGAGTTCTCTTTCATATAAAATCATGTGCTAGTCAGGGCAAGGCTCTGCCTGCTTATGACTCTAACTAGACTTAAAGAAACAAGCCTGAAGACTTAAAAGGTGTTAAATTCTACTCCTGCTTTTATCCTTATGCCTTGGAAATGGAATATGCAGTGATTAAAGGAAAGTACATGAAATACACTGAGCTGAATCTAAACTTATTTTTCAGATTTCATTTATATGCTATTCATCATTACTTTATAATCACCATAAAATAGCAGATTGCTTTTGCACTTTCTCTTCATTGCTTAACCACCTGAGAACACACCACTGCAGAGATCCTGCTCCACTGCTGTTTCACACAGGGTATGTCTGGGAATATATTCAGTACCACACTATTTCCAATCATTTATGGACTGTATTTCTCACTATTAAAATGCAGCCATAAAATCATTTTAATACTGCTATTAAAATAATTGACTGTAAATGACACGTGTAATCCAGCTCTTCTGCTGGCTTTATTTGATTTTAAACATTCACAATGTGGTTTTGATCCATCAGGAAAATGCTTGGCTCAGGTTTGAAACCTGCAGGAAAAAAACCCCTAAGTATCTGCATATCAGTTAAGGTTTTGAATAGAGTGAAACCAGGGGAGTACCAGGGAGGGTAGTAGAGAAAATCACAGAGAGGGGGAAAAAAAAACCTCTTAAGTTTCAGAAACAGAAAAATTAAGACAAGAACAAATATTCCCAGAAGTTGTTTTTTATTATGGAATTAAGTTTTTCTGCCTAGGTAAATATTTTATTATGTTGTTTATAATCCAAACTCCTATCATAATGTACTAGAGTACAGAAGTTTGAAAAAAAATTGAAATAGTCTGTTTTTGCCATCCAAAATGACTAAGAACAGACCACTACATGCAGGATGTTAGGATACTTCTACAATAAAAGTAGAAGTTAAAAGTACAAAAAACAAACAGTTTTACTGGCTTTTTTCAGCCTGAATGTGTTGCTTAAGTGATGCTAGAACATCATTTCTCATACCACAGTGACAGGTAAGTCAGTAAATTTAATATTTAACCTGATATATTTTAAAACAGACTTGATCAATGACCATCTTTTTGATGATGTTTTTAAAAACTACCAGAGCACATTAGCTCTTAGAACTGTCCAATTGTGCAAATTCTTCCTGCTTTCTGGAATAGACCTTCTGATCATCCCATGCCTGGTGCTTGGCTGAAATGACTGAAGGCAGCATTAGTGGAGAGCGGCCACTACACATCACATCCCTGGGGTACACCTGACTTCTCACCTTCAGCTTGGTTCTGTGTCAGCTCCCAGGCAGCCCAGGTAACCCCCCACAGCGAGAGGGCAGCAGCCACATGAGTCTATTTGAGAGCAGAAGCTGCAGTTTTGATGAGCAATGGCTTAGCTGCCTCCAGGATGTCCAGGTCAGGGTCCAGTGAACGTCCCAGTCCTTCCAGAACCATGATGGCAAAGATGATGGAAGCAAAATTACTCTCAAGCTTCACCTAGAAGCACAACAGACTGAATGGACTCAGTGGACATTATTTTCTTCTGTACCCCTTCAACCAAGGTACCAGCTCTGCCTAAGCTGGGAGGGAAGGGAAGAGGCTGGGGAGAGTATTTGCACATCTGAAACTACAATGCAACTCTAGCAGTTGAACTGTGCAGCCCTGTGGCTGACAGCCCTAGTTCAAGCCACCATAGACCTTTTGATTTCCAAAGTTGTTTGCAATTGTGGAAACTTGTCCCCCAAATAATCAGTTATAAGGACGTATCTATAGTGTAAGGGACTGTAAAAAAGGTAGGAAAAATTATGTGTTACAAAAATATCCCTTTTAGTAAACAAGACCAACCATTACATGAAGTATTGCGACAAAAAAATAAACAAAACAAAAAACCAAATCCAAACTAGAAATTTGGCTTGGCAGAGTGTGTATAAGACCTGAGAAACAGCATGCCTGCAACACTTGGATGCATTCCTGCAGTTCCTCTCCTAGCAGTTTATTTCAGAAGTCAGAACCCTTCCTTGTTAGCTCCTCATGTTTCCAGTAGTTCTCCCTCCCCACATGAACTTCCAGCTACTAAAGGCAGACAGGGACAGGACCTCACCTTATGGGTCATCAATAGTTTGAAGACACTTGAGAGGAGATTTCCCACCTGAAGCTGGAATACACAAAGAGAATTTAACAGGTGACCAAAAAACCTTTTTGTTTCAGTTTTCAGTGCCAAGCTGCACTGAACTGCAGGTGAGTCAGACTGTGACATGGTGCACTTGCCTTTCCCAAGGCAATGGTGTTCCCCCGGACCTTGGTCACAAGTTCTGCCATCTCAGCCTTGAAGCGCTCGATGTCCTGGCACTGGTTGGCACGGGCATGGTGGAGGATCAGCTCTGCCACCCTCTCCCCCTGGGAAACAGGTTGAACAGCACCATCAGAGCCTGATCACCGGTGACTTGCAATCAGATGTTTGCAGTTCTTGCTTTTAGTAGCTGAGAAGTGCCCCTGGCAGCATAGGATGGGCCTACAGGGATACAGGGTTTAGCACGGATTCTTTGGCTTGCTTTGGCAGACCAAGCCTACCTGTGTCCCACATGAGGTGTGTTAGTGAGCCCTGCAGCTGAGAGACAGCACAATGCTTGTTCTCAGAATGAACAGGAGGCACCAGCACTGGGTTCTTTAGTCCATCTAACAGCAAGTTTCAAGGGGGGAGGAGGATAATGTAGTTCCCCTCAACTGGAGGAGCCTAGCAGATGTCAGACCCCTCCACACACACCGGTTTTCCTTCCTCTTTATAGATGCTGACACAACACCAAAATAGAGGAAGGCATATAGGCCTTCCAACAGCAAGGCTGCAGAGGGTGGCAGATCAAGATGTTAACCCATTCCCTACGCTTCTCTGGCAAAACCTGACAGATTCTGCAACAGTGGCTTCCAGGCAGTCCTAACTTGCAGCAGAAGCACTCCTAACCAGCAAGGAGCAGCCAGTGCTTCCCATTTAGCACCGTCTGAAATTGCTCCACTCTGGCAGCCTCCTTGCTGCAGCTGAACAACTTCTCCCTGTGTTTGGAGATAAGGTGCTACCAAGGCTCCTTGCCTCTCTTAGCATCTGAAGGGGAAATAGAAAACTCTCACTTTGGCCATCAGATTCCTCATCCACACATGTCTGAGAGGGGCCTCCTCACCTGTCCCTGGACCACGGCGGTGAACACGGCACGGAAGTTCTGCATGTCGGCGCTCTGCAGCTCCGCCACGATCCCTGCATCCAGCAGCACCAGGCGCAGCTGCCGCGGGGGCGGCCGCACCTCCAGCACCAGCGTGTCACACAGGTCCAGCACGGCCGCCTGCTCCCGGGCCGTGCCCTGCACCAGGATGTTCCCCGGGTGCAGGTCGGCATGGACAAAGTTGTCAACAAAGATCTGGAGGACAGGTAAGAGTGAGAGCAGCTCGTTGTAAGCAAAGCTGGTCACGCCAAAGCCCCCAGGCAAACGGCAGAGGGTTGTTTGTGGGCTGTTCTCTCCCAACAGAGCACCACATGGACGCTCCAGATGCCCCAGGCACTTCTCTCTTGGGGACACAATGCAGGACAAGTGGATTATCGCTGGTCTTGTAAACTGGGGGAAAATGTGCCCAACAAGTCATGGCCAAAAATGTGTTATTCGATTCTTAACAGCAGTGTTTTAAAAGCATCTGCTCTGTGATGTGCACAAAACCTAGCTGCTCTCTGAAGATGTTAACTCAAAGCCAAAGGCACACCTTGTTACTAAAATGTTATTTCCTTCTCAATGAAATAAGCAGTGGACTTGATTGAGAATTCTGCAACAAAGATGAGAAGAGTGGCTTAAGATTATATAAACTCCCAAAAGCTCTGAATTGACTTCAAAATGATAAATGACTAAAACTTTAGAGGTGTGGAGAGCTGCTCTCCCCTCTAGCTAGTTCCCAGGAAAAACCTATTTACTATCTGCCATTTGCCTGGAAGATGATAATTCTTATTTTAAATGGGCTAACTTTCCATAGCAAACAACGGGGCATCACCCTCGGCAGCACCACAGCAGGTGGCTTCTGCTGCAGACCAGCTCTGGTACTCAGGAAGTCATCAGAGCTGTGTGAAGTAATCCAGTGTTTGCTAGAGGTCAGGTAGGACAGCTAGGAGCCCCAGCAGGGAATGGCAGTGCCCTTTGGCAATTAGCCCTAAACTGGGGCACACTGGTGGGCCTTAGCAAAGAGTACTGCAGTAAGAATAGGCTGTTTGCCATTCAGTGGGAAAAGGGACAGTGAATGGTTAAGTTTGTCTAGTGTAGGACACCAACCCACATTAGAACTGTATTGGGAAGTAAGGAAAACAAGAGAAGAGGAAATAAATCTGTGTAGCTCTTCTCTGACTCTGCTAGCAGTTATCACCAGAAAGGACTGGAAAGAGACAAGAACAAAACAGTACTTCCCCCTTCCTGGCGACTTGGGACTGCAGGACTTCCTGCCCCAAGGAGATTATCTTTGTATTTCATGGATTTCTCCTATGAATTTGTTCAGCTGCCATGTAAATAATTAGAGCTGTGTGGAAAAATATGGTTTTGGTGTTGCCTGAAAAAAATTACTTCTGCTAATTGTATGTCCTCCTTATTGAGAAACCCTACACAACAGATCCACATTTATATTCATGCACTCATGACTGCATAATCTCTGTCAGAAGCTATTCATCTTTCTGCTTTCCAGAGTTAAGAGTCCAGATTATTTCACTATTCTGGTATGGAAGCTACTCCACACGAGTAATCATCCTATCTGCCTTCCTGTGCACCTCTTCTAGTTCTACTACAGCCTTTGAAATGGAGGGTCCTGGACAGCAAGGGACTGGAACTGCAGAGTACTCAAGAAAGAGGTATTTGTTTTACTTACAGGTATAATGTTGTTTCTTTGCCCTTTAATTTTTTTCTACTCCTAAACTTTGAAACAATCTTAGCATAAAACTATTCTGGTTCCAGCACTGCTTTTCTGAGTGGTAAAAGCTATTTCAGAGCCTGTCATACTACCTGGAGCCAGAACTGGAGGTTCACTATTGCCCTAGCACAATGCTGCAGTTAGCAGCAGCATTTCATCTGACACACACTGCCCACACACTCAGTTCTGTCAGGAGCTTTTGCAACTCTTCCCTGCTGCTTCTCGTGGCTCCTCACAAGACACTTGTACCACCCTCTCAACACTCCTTTCCAGATTATTTGGGATTATTTCAGCTACAGAAGAACTAGATAATCAGAAGCTCAATCTGGTCAGGTTTGTTGTCTTTACTCCAAATTTAGTTCTCCCTAACAAAAAGGCAGTTTTATAGGAGTTGATAAATGAAGAAATCAGCTCATTGTTTTCCCTCTGAGTCACATCCATAATCTCTGCAGAGCACATGACATTTGCTAATAATGTTGCACTTTAAGGTACTTGGGCAATATGTGAATATTCTTTGAGTGGATTAGTGGGTGTCCTGAGCAAAGGCTGACCAAGGTGCACAGGCCAGTCCTGCTGTGTGTAGGCAGATGGCCCCTCTGCAGTGGCAGAGCTCTGTGGCAGAGCCTAAACAGGGGTGTAACCAGCCCAGGCTTTACCTAGACCAGGTACAAGTAGGAAGGAAATTGATTCTCTCTTTAGCCACATTGTCTTACTATCCAAATTGAGTAGCTTCTGCAGGAAAACAGCCTTCACCTGCAGCTCCAGCCAGGTGCCTACCATCTTTAGCAGCATGTCCATGCCCATCCTGGCCAGTCTCTGCCGCAGCTCCGTGCCAATCTCCACGTGCAGGTAGCGTGAAATGGGCTCACTCTCCTGAAACAGAGACAGAGCTGGAGTCCAGCACCCCCTGCATCCCACCTCCCAACACACCTTCACCTGGGTGCCACGAGTGGGGGAAAGGTGATGAGAATACCCTCGACAGGACTTGGCAGAAAAAGCCTGTACCTGGAGTGATGGAGAATGTGAGAGAACCAAAGGTTTGTTCCTTACAAAGACAGAGGTATTCCAGGGACAGAAACACCCTTGCCAGGGTCACATGCAGGAAAATTAAGCCTGAGAGTAGCTTTGGTCTGTGACTCAAACATCCACATGGGAAGTGAGGCAAGGATCAGGAAGTGTCAGATTGCTGAGCCCCTTGCTTTGACCCACCACAGAGGAGAAGTGAAGCGTGGTGCTGGTTTGCAAAGCACAGGCAAGCACAGGGTGGCTGGACACACTGCTGGTCTGCTTGGTTTCAGGCCAGGTGTTCACTTCTATATGGAGTTGTCTGCTACCTGTCTTCTGGGATGCACTGCTTGCAAACAAAGAGAGTGGAATAGACGCTAAGGAAGGACATCAATCTCTTAAGCAAATTAGGAAAAAGCATCCTTCTGCCTCTGATTCCTCCTTCTCAAAAAGAAACACCTCCTTGCCATGCTCTCCTTGGGGCCTTCTCACTGCTGCCATTGCACCCAGACCCTGCAATTCTTACCTCAAATGTTTCCACTAGAACATCTGCGGTTACCAAGGGCCAAAGGGGAGTTGGAAACTTCACAAAATCGACATCTAGGAAATTCTGTCGGAAGCGCTCCAGATTTCTGGCTTCGTAGCGTAAGTCAATCTCAAGGGAGAAATAGAAAAGCAGGTTGGAAATTAGATCCAACTAGGATTAGACCTTCAGGATCCTGTGTGAATTGCAATGCTCAACACCAACAAAACTAGTCAGAAAGCCAGAATGGAAACAAAAAAAAAAGTGGTGCTTTTTTACATGCTCACAGCCTCCCTGATGGAAGAGGAGCAGACTGGATAATGGATGGTCCACATCCCAACACCTTCAAAATATGGGTCCCTTACTAGAGGCATGGTTTCTCAAAATAGACAAGGACCACGTCATATTCAAAAATGCAACAAACTGAATCCTATCCTGAACCAAAGTTTGCTGTCCAAACAGCAGGGCAGGCAGACAGAATAGAAGAACTGCAGCCCCAGCCCCACGTGATAGAGAGGCAGCCACAGCAGGAAGAAATTCAATGTAATGCATACAAAATAATCCACTGTGCCGAGTCCAGGCCCTGGTTCTTCTGTGATCCAGTGTCTTGACACAAGGGCATCTCTCCTACTGCTTGCTACTGCTCCAGAAACCAGGATAACCTTGCCTCACCTCCCTTGTCTGACAGTGGGGAATACCTCAGGAATGCTTCTTGTTCATTCAAAGGGAAAAAGCTACAATGAGCCTATCAGCTGTTCTCCTAACCCTCAGCCTTCTGCACATCCACCCAAGCTCTGCCAAACTGGTATGAATGACCTCAAGTCACAGCTGACCACAGTCAACAGTTCCCAGTATGGATTTACTGTGTAGAGGTTTTGCAATTGTAGAAAACAATTAACGTTTTCAAAAGCTTGTTACAGACTTCAGACTCTGCAATCTAGACACAAAAATGAAATTAGCAGATAATGGCTCATTTTGTAGAAACATAAGCCGAATTGAGCCTGCAGTGATATCTCTGTAAGTTTGACAATAGCAATGTTTCAGGACTGTGTCTTTAGAAGACACAGTTTTCAGATCTGTTTGCCAGATTTTACTGACACTGTGAGTCTGATGATAATACAAAGTAGAATGTGTTATTAACTTCTATGAAAACATTATTTATGCCTATATATATATATGTTTATATATATCTCAGTGCTAACAAACATGACTAGCGAGTACAGACTGTAAACATAAATGTAAAATTATATAAAAAACCCACTTGCCTAAGTACTTGCTTGGAGAGATTCTTTCCTAAGGAGAGGTGTCTCACCAGTGTTCACCTTTCACAATGCTGCAAAAAGGACTGTGACTGTGGCTAGCTAACTGTTCAGGCTGTCCACTAGAAAAGACATTCAAAGTCTAAACATTATTTTCAAAGTCTAAAAAAAATAATTTTAGATCTAATAAAGACTGTTTTTTGTTGCTTTGCTACTTTGTGAGCATATAAACTTTCCGGCAGTAATGTTATGTGATTTGATTAGACTAAAGAACAGAAGTAAAGAACAAGCCAGCCTTCATCTAACCATTTAAAATGTGGTGAGAACATAGAGCCAACCAGTAGCAAGACAAAGGGCAGGTTTGTTTCAGTAGCTAGGAGCCATGGCCTGGCACATACCTGTTGCATCATGAGCTTCTCAAACTCCTCCACAATCTCTGTCAAACTGAGCCACTTGAACCCGGGGAGAAGTCCAATGATGCGGCTCCCCATCTTCATGAGAAACAGATCCATCTGGACTTGGTGGACCAGCCCAGGGTGCAGGACCTGCATAAGAACCAGCAGTGGCAACATCAACGGCCCAGACACTCCGGTTCAATGAGCTGAAGTGATACATTTTAAATATACAGAACCCAGCTTGTTAGAATGGGAGGCAACCAGCTTCATTGGCTAGTCCTCAGAAGAATTCACATTTTCCATTGATTAAGCTATAGAGAAACATTTTATCACTGTCAAATTCAGTGTATCTGTGCTGCAGACAACAGTCTCACCTAAAGTCATTTTCCACCACTTTCAGTCTTGCCCTGTCGCTGATTAGTGTTTGAAGCTGCTCAAATATAAGGTTTCTTTAAATAAACTTCGCGGGAACACACTTTAATGTTCCAGATTTCTTCATGTGAGCAGAGAAGGAGGCTTGCTGTCTGCTGTCTTAATAGTAATTATTTTAATGTAAATTGGGCCCTTGGAGGCATTCCTTGTACCCACACGCCACGTCAGACCTTGAGCTCTCAGTTTGGGAAGAGCTGAGGCCACTGCAAGTGTAGATTGTGACTGGCTGGAACAAAAGCACTGAGAAAGGACACTAAGACTCAGAGTCAGCATCCCTTCTTGTTCTACCTGGCCCTAGCCAGCTACTCCTCTCCATGGGAGTTAAAATCCGACAGACCTCATCCAGCACGCTCCATTTACACACATCTACCATCCAGGCACATGACTTACTTTAATGGCTACAGGCATGAGATGTCTGGCTGCTGTCGGATTTGCGTTCAGGAGTGGCTTGGCCCCCTGCTCCGTAAGGGACATCCTGCTCCCGGGACTTCCCTGGGAGCGGTCTGCAAAACTCAGTTCATCCCTGCTCCTCTCATCCCGTATCTCCTCGCTCTTCCTCCTTCTCAGCCACCCGAGGAGGCCTCTAAATCCTGACACTTCCCACGCTTCAAAGGCGGTCCTGAACTCCGAGCGTCGCTCCAGCTCCTTGGCCCGGGAGCCGGCAATAGCAGCCAGGTCAGCATAGGCTTTATACACCTGGGCAACGCAGCCCGAGCCGACCGGCTCCCGGCTCGGGAACGAGAGGATGCCCGTCCAGTCCTCACCGAAGGCCTTCCTCAAGAGCTCGTCGGTGTGGCCCCACGGGTGCGGGCTCACTTCGACGTGCAGCTTGGAAAACTCATCACAGAAGGCCTCCGAGAAGAGGTCCCTGCGGGTGCTGGCCCACTGGCCCAGCTTGACACACGTGGGACCGGCGGCCTCGGCCGCCCTGCGCAGCAGCCGCAGCCAGCGCTGGCCCATGCCGGGCCACAGCCGGCTCAGCGGGTAGAGCAGCAGCAGCGGCCCGAAGCGCAGCAGGAGCCCGCAGGCGCGGACCCCCAGCCGCAGCACCAGCCCCAAGCGCCGCAGCAGCCCCCTGGGCGGCCGCTCCGCGCCGCGCTCCGCCGCCCACACCGGGCCGCGCTGCCCCGGCCTCTCCTTCCAGCCGGTCCCGGCGGGCACGGCCGCGGGCACGGCCAAGGCCAGAGCGCTCCAGCGCGGGGCGCGCAGCCCGGAGCGCCCCAAGCCCGCCCGCCCGGGCAGCGCCGGCCTGATCCTGGCCGCGGCGGCGCGCGCGAGCAGCGGGAGCGGGAGCAGCCGCGCGGCGCCGCCTGCCACCATCGCGCGCGCTCCCGCCGCCACCGCGCGCGCTCCCGCCGCCCGCGCCGGCCCCGCCGGGGCCAGGGGGCGGGAGGGGGGCGCGCCCAGCCAATCAGCGCGGCGGAGCTCGGCGACGCCCCGCCCCTTAAAGGGCCAGCAGCGAGAGCCTGGCGGGAGCTCGCGCGCGGGCACGCGGGCGGCACCCGAGTGCCGTGAGGGAGGCGCGTGCCCGAGATGTCCCCTCCGCGCCGGGAGCGTTCCCTCGGGATCGCGCTGTGCTGGACGGGGACAGGCGGGAACGGCCGCGCTTGGGCCGGGGGCCTTCACATCTCCGTCTGTTTAGAGTCACAGGAACACTGAGTAGCCTGAGCTGGAAGGGACCCATGAGGATCATGGAGTCCAACTCCTGGTCCTGCACAGGACACCCCCAGAGTCACCCCGTGTGCCTGAGAGCGTTGTCCAAACGCGTCCTGAGCTCTGCCAGGCTTGGTGCTGTGACCGCTGCCCTGGGCAGCTGTTCCAGTGTCTGACCAGCCCCTGGGTGAAAAACCTTTCCCTAATACCCAGTCCCAGATCAGGGCACAGAAACCGTGCTGCAGGTTTGAGGCATTCCCGGCCAGGTGCTGTCCCGCGAGGAGTCTGTGACCCGGCCAGCCTCGGGAAGCCGTGCCAGTGACAGGTACCGGGCTGATACAAGCCAAGACTTTCTACATTTCCCCGGAAATCTTTCAATTTGAGCCAGAACGGCGGCTTTTCACTCAGCTCCGCTTTGCCCTGCTGGCCTCGACCCCGCAGCCCGGGACCCCTTCCCCCGGGCGCGCAGCCCAGGACGCTCCATGCCCGGAGCGAGGGGCGGGCGCGGCTGCCTCGGCGGCGGGGCGGGACGGGGCGGGCCGGGCCGGGCCAGGGCGGCGCTCCCGCCGGAGCGGGGCCGGGGCCGGGGCCGGGGCCGGGGCCGGTGGCGGCGGGGGGCGGGCGGGGAGCCCCCAGCCGCGGGTCCGCAGCCGCCAGCCCGGCGCCGGGCGCCGCCGCCGTCATGCCGGGACACGGCCCCGCCGCTCCGCCGCCGCCGAGGAAGGTAGGGAGGCGCCGAGGGGACGCTAACGCGGGAGAGCAGGCAGAGGTGCCGCTAAAAAAAAAAAAAAAAATCTCTAATTCCCTCTTCCTTTCCGCCCCCCCAACTTGATTTTCTCCATCTCCGGTGCAGCGAGTGAAAGCGGGAGCAGCGAGCCGGATCCCCCCGCGTCCCCGGGCAGCGCCGCTTTCCCGCCGGGACCGGGAGGCTGCCGCTCCCGCAAGACACGGGGGGCCGGGCCCGCTGCTCGAGCCGGGGGAGAGGGGCCGAGGGGACCTGGGGAGATGCTGAAAAGCCGCGGAGATGCTGAAAAGCCGAGCCGAGCGGGTCGGGAGCGGTGGGGCGGAGGAGCAGCGGCAGCCCCGCCACCCAGCACGGGGCCCCTGAGTGAACTCAACCCTGCCTCGGTCTCCAGCACAAAACAGAGGAGGAAACGCTAAACACATTCTTTGGGGGAAGCCCAGGCCCTGCTGGAGCAAACAGCCGGAGTTGTCGGCTCGGCAAAACCCTGAATCCCCCTGTGATATTAGCCCTGCGCTTCTCTCTGCTCTGGATAGCCTGCTTCCCTCTTACTTTGCCTTTGGCTGGAAGGAACGCCTGCAGTTGTGTGCAGCCTGTGGCTTAGCAGGGTGGCATTTCTGACTCCCGGTGGGGATCGGTGGGGGTATTCACCTGTCCTGGGGAGAAAAACCCTTTCTTGTCTTCCTGCTCTTGTACCCAGGGATGATGGGCACTGATGGGTTAGGGATGGAGTTGGTGGAGGGGAATGTTGTTTGGGAAGGGAACAAGAAGTTACAGCTGGCTGCTGCTGTGGTCCCAAGGTGTCAAATGCAAACTGGGAGACCAAACCATGCCAGATGTATTTGGGACGCTTTTGGCTTTTTGAGTGTCCAATAAGCATGTCTCTTGGTGCTTGGTGCTGGAAAAGTGATAGTCATGGGTGAGTGAGGTTTTCTGACTGCTTCTGTCTGCACTGGAGCCTCCTCACAGAAGCAGGGACTAAGTGCTAAACATGGGCCCTTAATTCTGCTCTTCACAAGAGCACAGCTTGTTTCCAAGACAGGTCAGCAAGTTGCTCCTGACCCTGAGGTATTCCCAGCCACCTTTGCTCTTGCCATTTAAGTAGTTGCTTAAGTTTGTTGCTTTTGGAAAAGAGCATCTCCAGCCTGGAACTCAGCTGGAGGATAAAGAGATGACCAGAGGGATTTCCATGGGGCTTTTATTTGCTATTGTGAGGGGAGCTGCTGGTGTTGGTGGTGGATTAAAAAGCTATTTTCTGTGTTGGCTGCCACCTTACTCATCGCTGGTTCTTGGTGTGTGGTACTGAGGTCCAATAATGTGTACTGGCTCTGTTTTCTGAACCACCGAAAAGGGAGTTGTTATTGCATCCTGGCAGAGGAAAGGAATGCATTTCCTCCACCCTTGTGTTGTGTTCTGAACTGTTTGTCATTGGGGTAATGTTTGTGGGGTTTGGTGCATGTTGA